GATAAAAAAACGAATAAGAGAGCTCGATAATGCATACGTTTAGCTGACGAAAAATTTTAGGTCGATTATTAATTAAATTTGAATCCAAGCCAACTACTAGTATTTAATATTTATATATATAGATTATTACTACTGTCCAGTGACCATGGCCCTGAGTCAATTCCATGGTGTGTCGGTGGCTCAATGCCATTGCCAGGTGTACCCAGTTAATCAAAGGGACCCACTTCTGTGAAGTTCAGGAAAAAATAAAAGCCCTCTCACAGTACACGAAGTCATCTCTTTGAGCGCCACGTACACCTCTACTGATCGGCCCCAGATCAAATCTTCGCCGTTGGCTAGCAAAGTTCCCTTCTGAAAAGGACTCCCCCCCAGAAATTATTATTAATGGTTATTATTCGCATTTTTTTTTTTTCTTGCACATAAATACACAGCTTTTTATTTAGGTTTATTCTACATCAGTGGTCAGTGAAGCTGATTTTAGAACTTTTATAATTGTGAGTATTGTTGTTCTCTTTTGCCCACTATACCTAGCTATCTTTTTCATTGCATTATTGATCATTTGTTATGATAAGAAAAGTGCTGTATAAGTTATTCAAGATTTGTTTTATTTTTAAGGTTTTCCATTCTCTATTTTCATGTTGTACTGTTTTGGGTTAACAGGAAAACTATTGGGTTAGGTTAAATATGACTGAAAGTGTTAATTTCGGGTCACAAACTCTCTTCTTTAAATAAAAGTGTATGATGAAGTGTCCTTGTTTTCAAGATGAATAGTTCTTTAAATAAAATTGTGACGGGTCAACCCACATGAGTTTGTGGGAAATCAAGAAAAATCCTTTTTTACTCATGTGTAACTTGGTTAATGCATATTAAGTACTGTAATATTGTATTCTTAATAGACAGTCACTTTGTAAGCAATAAGTACATATAGGGATAGGTGGGCATGTGAGAGTGAGATGCTTTTATAGAGGCTGTTAATGAATATGGTCCCTTTCATACTTACATTATTATCTCTCCTCCTGCCTACATGAAACTTACTTTACTCGAGGTTCCAAGCTTATGACTTGGCACACCATCTTGTATAATATTCGTTAATTATATCTCTGCATTTATATAATTGAAAAAACTCAAGAAGGATAATTCATTATTGTTAGTATTATGAGGCAGGGCTTTCAATATTCTCATAGTCATAGCCACAGAGGAGGAGCCATGGCTGGTGCCCTGATTTTGCTACTGTATTTGCTATTTCCATGTCTTTTCACTCCTTTGAGCCACGCTTTCCCCTCTGTTCTCTCGGTATGTCTTAACTCTTTTCATTGTAAAAAGGGTTCATAGTTATGTTCTGTGTGTTTTATGTGCATTTTGTGTGTTTTCTTTTCTTTTTTTTTTTTGGGCAATTTTACATTTTTTTAATTAATATTTTCATGGTGATATCTGGGTTTTCTTTCGTTTTACTTGTCTTTTTCTTGTTTTTGAGGGAAAAATGTTTTAGACTTCTACAAGAGAGTTGAAAATTCAGATAATCAAGAGTCTGAACTGAAATTTCTTGTTTACTAGTGAGAAAGATTTGATCTTGGGTGCATTCGTGATGTGCTTTTCGTTTATTTGGGGAATTTGTTGCCAATGTTAATTTTCTCTCACTGGATTGCCTATCTAAAAGGGGGAAAAAACAAGTTTATCAATATCTTTAGTGAATGTTAATAAATATGTGGAGCCTGAGTGGTTGAAATTTAGCTGGTGCTGTTGAAAAGGATTTAATGTATTATGTGTGCAAGTTGGTGTGGTACGGATATTCTGGGACCTGAGTTAGTTTATTTTGCTTATTCTGTGTGCAATTCATGATGTAAGAAACCAAAACTAACTGTCTAAGTGAAATTGTTCTGAAATAGAATGTCGGTGAAATGAATTTTATCTCTATGTATATATGTAGTAGAATCAATTAATTATATCCTCATGAACCTCTGGTTATTGTTTATGTTACATGTTCCCGTTAGTGTCGTCATCTTGCCTAAAAATCTCCTCATTTATTTTGTGAGTGTGCCTTAACAGGACATTTTAAAAGGAAAGCAAATTTAATAATGTTTTTCAAGAAACCTTATAATGTGTTTAACAGAGGAGTATTCTTTAGAGTTTTCAAAAGTTTGGATCGTTATTTATTTGATAATCCGATTATTATTTACTGTAGGAGTGGAACACTCTGAAACCTCGGCACTCTCGTCTCCTTAAAAGTGCTTTGCAACGCCAAATTGTGAGTAAGAGTTCAATTGATTTGCAAAATCTTTGGCACTATCAATTTTCGTTGAAACTTTGTGCAACTGATGCAATTTTGTTCCGTCTTTTTGCACTTTTAAGTCCGACGAGCAACAGACTGAACTGTGGATGCCTTTGGCCGACCAAGGATGGAAACCTCGTCTCAGTTCAGACAAAACCTCCAGTAAGTGAAAGAAATTAATACAATAATGATAAATATGTATATTTAACTTTTTTTTTTTGACAAAATCCGGGAATGGGATTATAAACTTTAAGTTTGTGTGTTATTACCATGTGAAAACTGTTTGGAGGTATAATAAAAATTTTGTTTCTTGCAGAGTTGCCAGAAAAATCTGAAGGTTACATTCAGGTGTTCCTCGATGGTGGTCTAAATCAGCAGAGAATGGGTGTAAGTTGTTCGGGTTATAATATCAAATAACGCATGCATGGACATTCCTTTTCTTGCCCTGATTGAATATCTGTTGTCTCGAGTTGCTAAATTGTAATAATTTTTTTTTTTCTTTTTGGTAAAGATATGTGATGCGGTTGCTCTCGCTAAAATCTTGAACGCGACCCTTATAATTCCACATCTTGAAGTGAACCCCGTCTGGCAAGACTCAAGGTCCTCTTTAATGAGTCCATACCCTTCTCAGTAGTTTGTTACGATTTTTTTTTTTTTTCCTTTTCTTCTCCGGAAACCTTAAATAAATCAATCGATTCCTACTTTTCTTTCTTCCAGCTCGTTCATGGACATTTTCGATGTGGATCACTTCATTAGCGTGTTGAAGGATGATGTGTCTATTATTAAAGAAATACCCGATGAGTACTTTTGGAGCACAAGAGAATATTATGCCACAGCCATTAGAGCAACCAGAGTTAAGACAGCGCCCGTTCATGCTTCGGCAAACTGGTACCTTGATAATGTTTTGCCTATCGTCCAGAGGTTGGTGTTAAACCGTAATCTTTCCTTCTTATTTTTCTAATATAATTTTTTTTTTTATGGTTCAAAATTAAATTGAAGTTTGGTATACACACACTTGGTTAGAGTGATTGGGCTTAAATTGTAGTTTTCTTGCATTTTCCAGTTACGGGATTGCTGCAATTGCACCATTCTCACACCGCCTGGCATTTGACAATATGCAAGATGAGATCCAACGGCTAAGATGTAAAGTCAACTTCCAAGCTTTAGTCTTCGTCCCTCACATCAGGGCTCTTGGTGATGCCCTCGTTAGCCGTCTCAGATACCCTATTGAGACAATCGAGAATTCGAAAGACAAACAAGGGACTGGGAAATTTGTCGTCATACACCTTCGTTTTGACAAGGTACTTAACACTTAACATTTTTTTTTCTTTAAAAATGAAGGTGATTCTAAAGACAAGCATTGAAGGTGATTCTTCTGTTCTTATTTCTCCTTTTTTTTTTCTTATTTTTTTTCAGGATATGGCTGCCCACTCAGCCTGTGACTTTGGAGGAGGTAAAGCTGAGAAATTGGCTCTGGCCAAATACCGACAAGTTATTTGGCAAGGGAGAGTTTTGAATTCTCAATTCACTGATGAGGAGTTGAGGAGTCAAGGCCGTTGCCCTTTGACCCCAGAAGAGATTGGATTGCTGTTAGCAGCTTTAGGATTTGACAACACAACTCGTTTGTATCTTGCTTCCCACAAGGTCTTTATATCGAGTTCTCTCTTTTTCCCTTCCTTTTGTACCTTTATTGTCAGTTTGTATGTTATGATAATATATTTTCAGGTGTATGGTGGGGAAGCTAGGATCTCAGCTTTACAAAGCTTATTTCCATTAATGGAGAACAAGAAAAGCCTTGCATCGTCAGAAGAAAGAGCTCGAATTGAAGGAAAAGCTTCTTTGTTAGCTGCTGTGGATTATTATGTTAGCATGCAGAGTGATATTTTCATTTCAGCATCCCCAGGAAATATGCATAATGCTGTGGTAAGCTCTTACTATGAGAGATAATTTGATTTCGTTTATTTATTACTCTAAATGTTTTAATTCGGTCTGTAACAACACTAGGTGGGCCATCGAACATATGAGAACAAAAAGATCATAAGACCTAACATGGCATTACTAGGCCAGCTTTTCTTGAACAAGAGCTTGAGTTGGCCTGAGTTTCAAGAGGCAATTATTGAAGGGCATAAAAACAGGCAAGGGCTGCTCAAACTACGCAAACCACTGCAGTCAATATACACATACCCGGCTCCGGATTGCATGTGCAAAGCTTGAGGTCACTCGTTTTTATAGATCTTATGCTAGTGTTTTTTGCATGTACTGGTTTTATGTATTACTTGGAAAAGAATAAAAGTTCGTTACACTTCCACTTGTGTATGTTCGGCAACCACACGTAGGAAATTTATGTTGTGAAAATGGGATGCATTGATATTTTATACATATGGTTTTGTATTATTTTGTCGATTGTGTGGATCATTTTATTTCATTCTTGTGCTACAGGGATTTCTGAGTTACTTGTTTCTATGGTTCTTATGTGATTATTGAATTCTTCAATCATGAGGACAGAAGATTAGGTTAGATGTATTCTTCTGGCTTTCTTTTGACATATTGGAAATTTTTTGTGTCAATGTTGGATGGTGGATGATGCGTGATTTTAATTTTTGGGGATTTGAGGATGGGTAATTCTAAATTTCGAAGGAAAAAAAAAAGAATAGATTTACCAATCTCTGTCCCATATTCTGAGTATTGGTGTACATATTAGGGATCAGTTTGGGTTTGTAGGATGGTTCGGCCGGTAGCTGTCCAAGTTGGGCCTGATGACTTGGAGAAGATCAAAGGAGAATGGCTTCCAGTTTTTGGAAAAGGGAAAAAGAAAGACCATCTATATTTTTTCGAAAAATGAAATGAAGTAGACAACATCAAAATTGTTGATAGAGTTCGTCTACGAGGTAATAGTTTTAATTTTTTTAAAAAAATGAAGCAATAGTAATAACAATACATCTGATATTTGGGAGATTCTCTTTTTGCCAAATTGCATTTATCTCTAATTTAGACATGGTTTTAATCACTTATATATAATTCTTAAATGTGCTGAGTCCAAGTGACATTCATACGCATTGGAATTTAATAGGTTAGCATTTTATGATTCGTAACTAGGTTAGGATAGACATTAATTTTTTAAGGAATCCATAAAACCTATACTTAGAAATTATATTAAATATTTTAGTTGTTACTGATGCGCCAAAAGAATCAACTCATCGAGATTGCTGGCCGAACCGCCTCGATAATATTTTAGTTGTTACTGATGCGCCAAAAGAATCAACTCACCAAGATTGTCGGTCGAACCGCCTCGACTAGATCACCTTCGTCTTCATGAACTGGATCGACCTGCAAAGCGTGGGGGCAGGACCCAGTGTAGGCACTCCTACGTTCAAGTCAGAAAACTAATAATCTTAGAAGTGTATATCGAATAATCTTAAGAGCTTAGGGTAGAAATAAAACCTAGATCCCTTATTATAAGGGATTTAATGATTTACTCTCCAAAACACGGGATTTTCTTAATAACCAAAGATTCTGATTAAGTACAGTACTTTTTCGGTCATATGTCTTATTCTATATCATTTAATTATATAACTATATATTATATTGTATATAATCACAATTTTCTCATTAATATTATACTCAAATATATAAATTTTTATTTCGTACATTTTTTAAGATAAAAATACTATTTTGTTATAATAATACAACTTAATAGATAGACGAGTAATATCTATATATCGATATAATTTCTTGGTAAAATTTAATTAATTTTTAATGTATATAGGCATATCATGATTTTCGAGATATTATTAATTAATTTTTTAGACAGTAATATGATAAAAATTAAATCATGTTGCTCAAGTGATATCCTATTCGACGTGAAAACAAATGGATTGAGTTTTAATGTTATTCAATATCATAAAATTGTTATATTTTATTTTAAGCAATGAAATTTAGTAGATTAGAAGTTTAGGTTACAAAACAATCATGCAACAATTAATTTCTCATAATATTACACAATTTACTTTTTTAATAGGTTATTTCGAAAAATAATGTTTCTATACTTTGTGATCATTATGAGAACAAATAATATCAATTTACTAATAGTTATTAATAAATTTACAAAATTAAATAAATACTACTGAAACAATTATCTTATTTGATAGGATACTTATTGTCAAATAAACTCTCAAATTTTATTGAGAAAGTCATAAAAGCATTTAAGACTCTTAAGATAATATTAATAAATAAAATATTTAATATATCACAATGTTAATTCTCATTGTTTATTTAGCGCACATCTTGAAAATTAATGACTCAAATAAATTAATAATAATTAAAATATCATGATATATTTTAGTTAATTATTAAATAAAATGTTAAAATATTTTAAGTGTTAATAATTGAAATATTATTCACCTTGATATTATCAACCTAATGGTCAGGTGAAGATTCGTTAACTTTATTGATTTTACAAATAAATAACATTTTTTGTAGGATCAAAATTCAATCCAATAAAACTGAGGTGCAATTTCTAATTCTAATACTAAATACAAGAGTTTATTTTTTTAAATAATGAAGTTGTTAAATGGATTGTTCTAGTAGTTTTCTAGTTTGTTAGATTATCGATATATTTCACATGTAAATGATTTCGGTAAAATTCTAGCTATATTCTATTAAAGTTAAGTGTATCATTGAAATTATATACAATATACAAATTACATCTCAACTAACATTGTTTTACTAGGATTTATCGTTTTGTTAAAATTGTAAATAGGTAAATAAATAGTTAAAAATATTTAGATTCTTTTAAGTATTATTATGTTGTTTTAGTAAGATCAGTGTTCTTTAAAGTACTTTTATATTTTATAATTATTAACTATGATTACAATTTTACCTTTAAAATTGTATTAAAAATAAGAGCGTTTTTCAAAACAACAATTTTATATCCTTTCCAAACTTTGTTGTTTGAGTTAATGTTGGGGTTGATTTTGGAATATATGGAAGAAAACAATTTGGGAGATACGTAACGCGAGAATATTGTGGTTGATTTTTATGAAATGTGGAATATTTTATTTGTGTATTTGTATTTAACTAATTAAATATTAGTTATTAATTAAAAATACAAGATAAGATGGGTATTAGTATAATACTAATATGCCATTAAATATATGTCAAAGTAAGGGTTATTTTAGCTAGAATATTCGTTATTATTAAATGTGATAATTGCAGTTTTAGTCCAGTATCATAGGTCGTTTCCCATTTTTGACCAGTAATTCAGTCGGATCCAAAATTTTTTCAGAAACTCTTAAATTTTAGCCTATTTAGTCTTATTTCGACCCCGATCGTCGGAATCCGATCACAAGTTGCTGAGTTAAGAATTTCGACGTTTACTTGGCTCATACAGACAGATTTCCAGCAGATTAATTGATGTGTACACTTCCATCTTTTCCTCGTCATTGCCCTTAGTTATTTTAATTTTAAGATTAAAATCAACCAATCGTCGTGAAGAACCTAAGAAAATCCAGCTTGAGGTCGCGCGTCTTCGATCAGAATGACCCCGGGGCCGCCGTCGACTCACGCGCCACGAGAACCATCCTTTCTTTCGCTTTCGATGTCGCGTTCTTCTCCATTGCGCCGACGGACCATCCACAAGCAAATCCTCGGACACCTCGAGGGCGGAGCTCGACCGTGGCCAGCGAGGCTCCAAATCCACCGACGACGGCCCCAAAATCATCCTCAAGCACTCGTCGCGGTACCCGATCGCGAACCTTCGTCAAACCCTCACTAGGAAGCAGAAATTCGCGAGATCGAGGTGAGAGTTTCGATAAACTTACCGAAAAACAAGATGTCGATGACGAGAAGCGGGCAACTGAGCTTTTATATTCTCGGGTAGAATGCGCTGAAGAGGTCGAGCAGCGCATGTTTCGTTGGCGCGGCCAGCTTGGGCGGTGGTGGGGACTAGGGAATCAATCAGACGGTTTTGGAGATTGTGAGGGGGTTGAAATTTTTAATCTTAAAATTAAAATTATTTAAGGTAAAATGATGTGGAAAATATGAAATTGTTCACATCAGTTAATCTGTCGAAAATCAGTCCACATCAGCCCAGGTGGAGCCGAAATTTTTCAGCTCAGCAATTTCTGTTCGGATTCCAGCGACAAGGGTAGGAATATGACTAAATTAGCTAAAATTTAAGAGTTTTGGACCAATTTTAGATACGACTAAATTACTGGATAAAAATGAAAAACAACTTATGTTATTGGATCAATACGCAATTTTCCTAATTAAAAATATACGATAGGACCAATGTTATTGTAAAAATATTATTAATTTGCCAGTTAAAATATGTCAAAATAAGTTTTTTTTAGGCAGTTCAATTTTTACAAAATAATTCATTTTCTTATAATAGATATAATAGATAATAGATATAGATTTTCGAATTAGTTATAAAATAGTTAAATTCAACAAATATTAATTAGTGTCCTATAGCTCTTCCATATGTCTACATGTTGGTGACGCTCAAAACCTTGTCCAATGTGTCTCCGCCGTCAGTAGCCAAGTACATGCTTTACAGCGCAATTTCACGTCCATTTATTTTTCTAGTAGTGGAAGTAGCCAAGTACAGGCTTTACACCGCAATTTCACGTCCATTTATTTTTCTAGTAGCTTTATCAAACGGTACCAATGTTTGTTGAATCACACACGTAGATGTTTGTTGAGTACCAAAATTGATTTTACCTATATAAACCCACGTAGATATTTGTTGATCAAACCTAAAAACACCAGCTAGCACAATAGGAATTTTCGCTGTTTATTGAGTAATTTTCAAGTCCTCTTACACGCACGTTTATCATCTTTAATTATTGAAGCATAACCCAAATAACACGCCATGCATGAGGTCTAATTATTGCATCCCATTTATTCCTCCAAACCACTCCTACTTCCAACCTCCACGCGCCTGGGCACAACGACGAGAGGCTCCTTCTTCCCAACGGCAAACCCAGGCCTCTCGGTCACATCCAGGTCCTCCACTCGGGCCCCACCCGGCAGCTCAAAGTCAAAGTTTTTCACAAGGTTCGCCACCGTGTGCTCCATGCCCATGGCCGCAAACCCTATTCCGGGGCAGATCCTCCGGCCAGCCCCGAACGGAAGCAACTGGAAGTCGAACCCCCTGTAGTCGACTGACGAGTCCACGAATCTCTCGGGAATGAACCTCTCCGGATCCTTCCAAAAGGCTCGGTCCTGCCCGATGGCCCACACGTTCATCAGGACAATCGTCTCGGGCTCCACGTCGTACCCCATGAAGTTCACGTGCTCTCGGGCCTCGTGCAGGTAGATGGGAAATGGCGGGTGGATCCGCAGACTCTCCTTGATCACAGCCTTGAGGTACGGCATTCTCTGGATGTCGTCCTCAGTTATGACCGTTTTGCCCTCGGTCACTCCTCGGACTTCATCTTGTAGTTTCTTCATGACGTGTGGGTGTCGAATCAGCTCGGTCATAATCCACATTAGAGCCTTTGCCGATGTTTCGGTTCCCGCCCCTATAACATCCTGCATGCACATGCGTTCAGATATCGATCAATTATGTGTATATACATATATATAAAAAAAAATGAAACAGAAAACCAAACCCCACACATATATAAATAGTGGGGAATGCTACAGTCCCGTTACAGTACGGTTCCATCGGTGATTTTAACTGTAGATTATCTACACATCACTGATCTACATGTGTATATATCTACGGTTAGAAACACCAACGAAACCATACTATAGCGCGACTGTAGCATTCCCCTATATATAAAATAGATATATTTTTCTTTTCCCTCACAAAAATCATGGCTTTGACGGTAACGCGGTCGATCGACACGCCCCGAACGTCTCCCTTATATATCCCGAGCAGTATATCCATAAAGTTATCCTTATCCACGCCTTCTTTCCGAGACAAGTGATCCTCGAGCACCGTCTCTAAGATATCGTCGATATCCCGCGACAGGTGCGCGCGGGCCGCGTCGAACCCGGTAAGCCCGTCAATCCATGCCAGCCACGGCACGAAATCCCCCACCCTGAACTTGGACAACATATCCACAACCCGGTCTATGACTTCCAACACCCTCTCCACGTTCACCGTCTTCTCCCCGAATGCCGTCCTGCAGATGAGGTTGTTGTTAAGCGTCGCGAACTCAGCAGTCAAGTCGGCGGGCCGGGCCGGGCTCCTCCGGCCCAGCCTTTCCATGAGCAGTGACACCTCGGACTCACGGACGGAGTCGAACGAGCGGACGCGAGCGGGCCCCAAGAGCTCGTGCACGAAGATGGCCCTCAGCGCGCGCCACTTGTCGCCGTACGGGAGGTTGATGGGGTCCTTGAGGTCGCAGAACAGCTGGCGCATGGTGCGGAGGTCGGGCCGGTTTGAGAAGGCGAGGTCATGGGTGCGTGTGGCCTCGCGGGCCGCGTCGGCGGAGGAGATGACGAGGACGGGCTTGGAGCCGAATTTGAGGAGCATGACGGGTCCGTAGGTCTGGGAGAGGTGGTGGAGGCTGCGGTGGATAATCGGGCCGAGCTGGTGGAGGTTGCCGATGATGGGGAGGGTGGGAGGAGAGGGGGGTGACTTCTTCTTGATGTTCTTGGGATTGAAGGTGAAGAGAAATGCGGGGATAATGAGTGTGAGGGTTACAAGTAATGCATACAAATGGAATTCCTCCATTTTTTTTTGGGTGAAAATTCTATGGCCTTTTGGGGTTTGATGGATATTGTTGGTAGGCTTTTTCAAACAATGTGTTGATGTAGTTGGAAAGCGAGAGCCTGTATAGTGAATAGATTCAATTTTTGTATAAGATAGGATAAAATTTGGTAAAAATAGTTAAATTGTTTCTGAAAAGATCGATTATTTACTTGTGTCTAAAATAAATTAAAGGGCATATGGGGGTTTTTGTTGTTTCGCACATAGTTGGACCGGTCCATTTTAACTTATATTGTGTAAGATTTAGAGAATCGGAACAAGACAGGGTGGACCTAAGTGCACCATAGTGGAGATTACATTTCAATTGGTAATGGAAAGTGCAACCCACTAGGTATATAAATTAGGTCCAATTTCCATATAGAATCAATGTGGGACAACTCACAATACTCCAACATGCCACCTCACTTGTGAGTCCTTCATAAGCCCAAACCCAGAGCAGGCCAGGTAGAGAGTAAGCCCAATCTCAAAGCAAGTCGGGTAGAGATAGAGACCTAGGCCGGAGTTGGTCGGGTAGAGATAAAGACCTAGGCAGGAGTCGGCCTGACTCTGATACCATTTAAGATTTAGAGAATCGGGGCAAGACGGTGCGGTCCCACCAGATGAAGTGCACCATAAGAGGGTGAGCCTAGATGCACCATATATAGTGAGGTTCTATCCCAAAACCAATTGTTGATGGGAGGAGTAGCCCACTAGATATATACTATATAAGCTAGGTCCAATCTCCTTATAGAATTAATGTGGGACAACTCACAAGTGATACTCCAACATATTAAAAAACATTTTTTTTTCGATATTTGATCTATTTCTTATCAGAAACGCAGTTTTTTAATTGATTAAGATTATTGTCGATGTTTTAACCTTTTGTTATGAGTTTCAATTGTTGATATGTTGAAAAAATTTGAATTTTAGATGTGTGTGTCTATTTATTTGCTATTGTTAGCAAGACTTGACGATTAGACACAAATATTGTATTTATTCAACAAATATGCATTATATTAAATTAAATGCCATAATTTAAAAATAAATAAAAGCATAATATTGTATAGTGTAAATCTACATTTTTGTTAAAAAAAAATATGATAAAGTCAGACTCGCCAAACTGCTGATCCGAACTCATAACTTTTGTTTTGTGATTTTCTATGGGTAGGCTACAAGGGTATTTAATTGATTATAATTTCTAATGTATGAATGTTTTGAAACTGACATCTGCCTACAATAGTACAATTGCATAACTCAAAGCTAACGTGATAGATATTCACAAATTTTATCGGGGCTCGAATTATAATGGGTGATTTTGAGTGTCTAGCGAGCGTTTCTTAATTACATTCTTAATTACAAAGTACCATAAGTTAGTGTGTAGACACTTAGACTATGTTTGGTAAAATTAGCTGATAGCTGATAAGTTAGCTAAGCTATGTTTGGTAAAACTAGCTGACAGCTGATAAATTAGTTTATAGCTTATTAGTATTTTTTTAGCTTATAGCTTATAGCTTATGACTTATAGCTGAAAAGCTAGCTTATATGATAAAAACGTTTGGTAAAATTAGCTGATAAGCTAGCTGGAATAAAAAATTCAACTAACTTATTTGAAAAGATACATAAAGAAGTTTATCAAATAAACTCGAGCTTTTTAAAAAAGCTCGTCCTACCAGACGAGACTTATTTGAATACAAGGAGATTTATAAGTTAACCAAATAAACTATAAACTTGCTGATTTGGCTTACAAACTAATATGGGCAAATGCTAGTGTACGACACCTAATATGGGCAAATGCCTAAACAGACCGAGTACGTAGGAAGAAGTAGCATCAATTGAGTCTACCCGTTACACAAGTACACAGTCGTGTTGATAATAATACTTAATGAAATAAATAAAAATAGATCTTAGTAATAATATTTGGTAAATCAACAATAAGAAAACTAACATTTTTACATTAATTAAGGGCAATATGTACATTTATTCACCCACCAAGGCACCAACCATCCACGACACATGTGGGCCCCACCTGCCCCACTAACCCGTTCAATCCCCCACCTCTCACCTCTCTCTCTCTTTCTCTCTCTCTGACACACAGACACACACCGACCTCGCACACACAGACACACGATCGCCGGTCACACACACACAGTACAATTCCCACCGCCGATAAGCCCTTCCATCTCTGCAGCCATCGCCTCACCACCCACACCCCCCTCGCCGCCGTCATGTATTTCCACGAGTCTCCTCAGATTTCGTCTTCTCAGCCGTACCGCCACGGGAAGGAAATCGTGCGCCTGCTGCCTGTGCCGCTCCCGGTCGAGCCGCCGCCATCCCCGGGCGTCTACCTTGGAGTTGATTGACCCCGACGAACGACCCCATTTTTTATCAAGAATTTTAATGCTATTTGGGAAAAAGGAGTAAAATGAGGAAAAATTAAGAGGAGAAAAATTAAGGAAAAAATTAAGAGGATAAAACTTTGTTAACTTTGGGTTCAATTGTTCGAGAAGGCGAATTGCGATAGCAAGAAATTTCTTTTTGTTTATTATGGTGGAGGTAAATATTTCTTATTTTTATTTTTACTTTTTTTGTTAGTTGTTTTTTTATGGACTACTTAGATGAAAGAAAAACTAAAATTGTTTAAATTATTTTAGCATTTTTTGTGATTGATGTTTCTTTTGTTGGAATAAGTTTAACAAAATACATGATAACAACACAATGAGAGAATAAAGAACCACCCATCAAGTCATTATATGCTTATGTATAAATTGAATATTTAAATCTTTTTTAGGTGATTATAGTATATTATTGATTATATATATACATATATATATGTATATATAGGGTCGTGTTTCGGTGAGAATGGTTATCAATGAAAGAAATAAAAATACATCCTAGCCGTCCGATCAGATAATCTAACCGCTTAAAAAAACCCAACATTTATACTGATTAAGGATAAATTGGACATTTTTTAATTACACCAAAGAGAGGCCCCACCCATCAGATCCGACCCACCCCACCCCCTCTGTCTTTCACACGGACAAACCCACAAACACACACACACAGACACACACTCTCACATACACTTGCCGTCACAACTTGGCCCACCGATCACCGCCCCGCCGCCGGCCTGTACCACTTCCGCCGCCACCATCTCAAAGAATGCCGCCTCCACAAGAGCAGACCACCGGAACCGACCTCGGCCGCCGCCACTATGCCGCTCGAAATTGTCGAGCCTTCTCCAGTCGATCCATAGCCGAAGTTCCTGTCCAGAAGAGGCCTGCGATGCCGCTCACCGGATTCACCGTCCTCCGACGACCTCGAAATCGACCAACAGAGATTCAAACAGATTTGGGCCTCACAGAAATTCACGACCAATCGATTCGGCTTTGTCCAAGCATTTGTTCATTCGGTCATCATATCTCTTGATGATGAATAGCACAATTACCCGCCTATGGCATTCCGACACGGCGGAGATGATGGACGTGAGGCCAGCGCGACCGAATATCATTGGCAAAATGGACGGAAAATTCAATTTGGGGGTTTGATTTTTTTTTTTTTTGGAATAAGAAAGAGATTCTCCCTTCGAGCTTATCTAGTACCACTGATACGATACCAAAAATGTATCTCAAGTGATTCGCTAACTTGCTTCCGTTCCTTCGCTTTCTTACCAGTGACGGATTCAAGATGAAATTAGATAGGTTTGAGGCAATTTCAAGCGGCAGAGTGCATATGGTAGAATATGTAAATTTTAATAAATTTTATTAGTTGATATAATTATAGTTAATTGATATATTAAATATCTTTATAGTTAATTGAAGTTAATTGAAAGCTTTATAAATTTTAATTATATTACAATTTGGTTCATATGTAAAATATGTAGTTTAATAGAACTTTAATAATTGCACCTAATTGTACAGTGTATTGCACCATCCCGCGTTCGAAATTGCACATTACAAATATCACTATACAAACTGCACTATATTGCTAGACATTGCACTTTAACTATATTACAATTTAGTTCATGGGTTAAATTTGTAAATTAATAAAAGTTGATAATTGCACTTTAATATTCAATGCATTGCACCATATCACATTTAAAATTGCACATGATTTATAATGTATAATTTTGTATCATATATATTAAAATAATGTCTTAAAACATTAAATAAAAATAACTTAAAATGTTAAAGTAATATAAAAAATAATATAGAATACAAAATAATTTTTTGAATTAATAATTGAATTTTTATAATATAAATAATAAATTATGTCAATTATTTTAGTATAAAAATGAAAATTAAAATATATAATAATGTCGAATGCACATTACAGTTAGTTGGATTGCATATTAATGCATGTGAGATAGCACACTAGTGTATAATTCGTGCAGAAAACTATATAAAAAAAAAAACTTTTTTTATATGCTATAGATTACATACTATTTATTTCAATAAATAATTATATAAATTATATTGCAAAACAACAACCGAAACCGTACGAACTAAATTTTTTGTGCGAGTTTTCATGTCGGTTTGATTCTCTTTTTTACTTTTAAAATTTTAGTTATATATATTATTTATTCATTAACAAACCACAATATAAAATATTATATAAAAAATATAAATACTAAATATATTTTTACGATATAAAAAAATTGATAAATTCAAAAAATAATGATAATTGAAATATACATTATTGAAGTTTATAACTGTGAAACACATAAAAAATACTCGATCGGTTGATTGCACAATAATGTTAGATGAATTGCACATTATTGTCTGCTCGATTGCACTTTATAGATTTACTGATTTTGATATTTTTTTTATATTATATTTTCTACTATAAATATTATAAATTATTAAACATAAATATTAAAATATAAAATGTATTTTATAATATACATAATAATATAAAAATATTTTGCAATAATAAATAAATTATAAAAAAATAATAATTAAAAAACTATTTTAATTATTTAGATTAAT